CTGTTCCTAGCTGAGGATCATTCTGGCTATAGCTTCTGGTATCCAGTACTCTTTTTACAATTCTTGTTTAGTTTTTCTTGTTTTTTTGGTTTTCTGTTCTATGTCTGGTTTTCTTTATGCTGGGATTTCTGGGTTCATTCTTATATAACGTCCCTGGATTTCCCAGTCTCTTGGATTAATTTAAATGTTTGTTTTATTTGCCACACCCGTTTGTTTTCCATCATTCCTTTTTGTTTCAGTGTGCTGCAGGCAGCTGCTCAAGGCTCCTGCCCTTTCTTGCAGATAAGCGCTATATATGTCTTCTTTGGTTGTTTTAGCATACATTAGGCAGTGTATGACCTGCCAGATATGGGGTACATTGGCATTGTTGGCAGGCTTATGCAATGTATGATCATATAATGTGACTAAATCCCCATGATTTTCATATATAGTGCTTAGTTATTTCTCCTCTTGTTTTGCCTATCTTATCTTGTCTTGTTTTAGTTTGTATGCCCAGTCCATGTACAGTCCTGTCCAGTCATGCCCATGTTATGTTCATGTTTACCTTGTGTCTTGTGTACATGTTCTGGGTTTAGCTTCCTATCCTTCTCCGGTTCTGGGTTCTATTAGTTCTGTCTTGTTTCCATGTATGGTGTCTATCTCTAGTCTTGCCTTGTTTCTGTACTGGATACATTCTTGCTGCAGAGCCTCCCTATTCAGCTTTGGGAGGTCTGCTTAATTCCAGCTCCTAGTTCCTGTGATCCACTGAAGCTGCATCAGGGTTCTGTTATGTGGTTGCCCAAACACTGGTACTCAACACCAGGGGGCGTGTGGTTACCCTGCACCAGACCCTGCTAATCCACCTTCACACTGTGACTCCTACTCTGAACATCAGGCATACTGGGTCTCGGTCCTCGCACCGCCGCCCAGACAGTGTCTGGGTCCCGGGCACCGGACCGCCACCCTGCCAGTTTTGAATTTGTGTCTATTTAATGTTTAATTTACACATCTGTGACTGTAAAGGAACCGCTGCCACCCCGACCGGGTACCTTCCGCCGACGGATGCTCCTAGTGCTTTCCGAGGACTCCAAGCACTCTGCCCGACACCATAACCACTGCAGACCCCACGAACCGCCGCAGCTTGGTTGGGGTCTCGCTGTCTCCACCCACTCTGGACCCAAGACCAGGGTCCAGCTTCCAGTAGGTTGACCTCTCCGAATTCCAGAGAGCAGGAACAGGAACAAGCTCTTAGCAGAGCTTAGTGATTATACCCTGGGGAGTATAGTGATTGTAGCAATCCCCAGATTGTAGTTTCTCCAATCCCCCAAACATGAGCCAAAACTGCATGAAGGTACATGATGATCTGATCCTTTAATGGCACATACTCTGCTTTTATGCAATTCTCCCCTGCAAGGGACACACCCACAGACAATTATACATTACCCAATCACACAATGGTTACATCCCACACATCTCCTCCCCTTAGCCTGAGAGGTAACCCAATTATCTATACATTTTAAAACACACTTTTTACCCAACTTTCATAACTCCAAAACTATACATCCACTATTAATAAAACTTACATATTATTAATCAGCATACTTTAAACATAAACATAACCAAAAATCAGACAATTCCATCAAGGGGTTAAAAAGTTAGCTGGAGGTCCCTTTATGACCGACCGCAAGCACATTTTCATGCCCGAAACAGTTCCATAGATTTGGGCTGTGCGGCCGGTCTATTTCAGGCTGAAAAAACGGCTGAAAAAACGAATGGGACTTAGTCTCTGCAGCTGTAAAATCAGTATGGGAGAAGGTAGGGCTCAGCCGATTTTAGTTCCATGAATTTGGTTACACATACCGCCGACCTCGTTCGCATTAACAAAGATGGCCGCCGCCACGTGTTCGGCAAACAAACAAAGGCCACCCAGCATTGTCAATTAAGCTGCGGTTAACCGCAGCTTCTAGGAGGTAAATTGCCGACACACTTCCACTTCTGGGTGGTCTGCCTGTGTGGTACTTGGTTCAGTAAGCCCCATTTACTGAAACAAGTGGGAAATAGCCAGGCACAAAGGGTTTTAAACAGGTCTGGGGACACAGGGGACACCGTCTTAAAGGGGCAGTGTCCCAAACAAGTCGGGGGACACCGTCTTAACGGGGCAGTGTCCCAATTTTCCCTATACCCCAAAAAGGTGCTTAAAGGGCCAGCACCAGTCCCATAACCCACAAGGCAGGTCTTAAAGGGCCAGCAGCAGTACAATATAAATCCATTAGCACAAATAAGGTTTGTAAAGTTCCATACAACCCAGGGCCGTAGTCATGAGGCAGGAGGCTGGCACTCAGGCTCCTCCAACAGCCAGGGGCAAATGTCAACTTGTCACCTAAAAATCTAGTGACGAAAGGCATTTCGTCACACATCTCCCCTTTGGGGGGGAGACTAACCAGGTACCTGACCTGTCTGACAGTGCCTGAGTTAGTCGATAAACCCACCCACAGTGAACAAGTACATGAGTAGCCCCCCCACAACACACATTTACTGCACCTGGGTATTTCTCTGAGGTCACTGGGTAACACGCTGTGGGAGCTTGGGGGGCAGAGGCCAAATGCGCTCTGCCCCGATGCCAGCGCTTCTGCTTGGGCAGCTGGGTTAGGCTTTGGCTGGGGAGGGGAAATAGTACTTACCCCCTCCTCCTGGTGTCCCTGTGGGGGTAGTTGGGGATCTGGACAGGCTGTCCAGCATCCCTGTATGTTGGGTGCAGAGACTACGGTCCCATCTGCACCGTCTGGGGGAGTAGGGTCTCCCCTTGGTAGGGTATGCTGCCGCTGAGGTGTAACACACTGCCGCTGGGGATTCCAACCGACTGTTTGGACTCCCGGTAACGCTGCCTGGTGCTGGTTGATGCAGGGACGAGGGACCGACAATCTCCTCTCCCTGGGATGCTGGTTGCTGCAGAGACGAGGGACAGACAATCTCCTCTCCCTGGGATGCTGGTTACTGCAGGGACGAGGGACCGAGAATCTCCTCTCCCTGGGGTGCTGGTTGCTGCAGGGACGAGGGACCGACAATCTCCTCTCCCTGGGCTGCTGGCTGCCGCTGGGGAGAGAGACCAGTTGCCCACAGCCCCAATCTCTGCAATTGGAGCTCAAATTCCCATGATGCTCGATTCTCCTCATCCAACTTGCGCATGGTTGCCAGGATCGTCTCTACCGAGGGATCCGGGCCATACCTGGTTAACTGCCTCTTTACCTCCTCCCTGTAAGTGGCACCCTCCAAGCGATAGGTCATGTTTGCTGTGACCAGGGACGCTGTACGAATACTAGCGTTGCCCTCAAATTGTAATTCCAAACGCTACCGGTGCCTCTGCGCTGCTTCTCCTCGCACTAGGGCGCCATCCCACCGCTGCCACCACTGTAACGGAACCACTGGCACCCCGACCGCGTACCTTCTGCTGACAGATGCTCCTAGTGCTTTCCGAGGACTCCAAGCACTCTGCCCGACACCATAACCACTGCAGACCCCACGAACCGCCACAGCTTGGTTGGGGTCTCGCCGACTCCACCCACTCTGGACCCAAGACCAGGGTCCAGCTTCCAGTAGGTCGACCTCTCCGAATTCCAGAAAGCAGGAACAAGCTCTTAGCAGAGCTTAGTGATTATACCCTGGGGAGTATAGTGATTATAGCAATCCCCAGTTCTCCAATCCCCCAAACATGAGCCGAAACTTCATGAAGGTACAAGATGATCTCACTTTTAATGACCACACACTGGCTTTTATGCAAGTCCCCATGCAAGGGGACATCCCACAGGGTGGGACACAGTACAACCAATCATTTACAGGCAAACCGTAAAACACACCCAGCACAAACATACAAAATCCTCCCCTCTGCTTAGGAGATAATTGAGTCAATTACTGTATCTACTCAATTATCTCCAAGCTGAAAAGTTACACTTTTTATACATTTTTATAACTTTGTGAGTTTACACCGTACATACATTAACCAGTATAACTTGGGGACAAGCATATCCAAAATTCACTTGAATAGGTTCAGGGGTTTAAAAGTTAGGTCAAAGTCCTTTGTGACCAAAGGAAGCATGGCTTTTCCTGCCCAAACCAGTTCCCACTGGTCTGGCAGTGTCCCTGGGACAACTCCCTGCTGGAGAACAATGGAGCTGGGGGAGGGGAAGAGGCACACCTTCCCATGAATTCAAAGGGGCAGAAAAAGTGTCTCAAAAGTTTCAGTATGTCCATACACTGTTTTTAAAGGGCCAGCACCGTACGATAAAAGTCCATAAGCCCAAATAATGTTTGTAAAGGGAAATACAACCCAGGGCCATAGTCATGAGGCAGGAGGCTGGCACTCAGGCTCCTCCAACAGCCAGGGGCAAAGGGCAGCTTGTCACCTAAAAATCCAGTGACAAAAGGCATTTCGTCACAGTGACTATTTCAAAATGGCTTGCAAATCTCATGACTGATTATCCAGCAGAGGTATCCAACCATAAGAGCACTCATGATCAGGGCCGGATTAACATAGGGGCTGATGGAGCTGCAACTCCAGGCCCAGGCCCATTGAATAGGCCCATTTAAAAAAAAAACAAAAAAAATACTTTTTTTTTTGTTACACACTACTTTTGGGTTGCCACCTGACTGGTATTTTACCAGCACAGCCGATATTTAAGGCTGCCTGGCTGTGCCGGTATTGCAGTAATAACGGAAATATAAATGCAGATATTTTTCTCAGTATAAACGGAGATTACTCTACAATACCAGCACCAGCCAGTAGGGGTCACTGCATGTGGTGTGGAGAGAGGCAGGGATAGGAAGTTACAGCATATCCCTCCCTGCCTCTCTCTACTCACTGATCTGCGGGGGAGAAGCTACACAGCACAGAGAGTTCAGATAGCAGCTCCCAGTCTGCAGAGAC